TATACATATAGTTGTGGAGTAGTGTAAAGTAAATACTTCTTAAAAAAATATTAATTTTGCAGAGCAAGGTGCTTTGTAATATGGTGGATGCTCCCGGGTATGTACGCAATAGTCATGAATGTTTGAAGTATAAGTAATGAAACAGGGAACGGTGCACTAAACCACAGAACGTGTTTGAAGCAACATATAAATATTGAGGCCTCTCGACTTATTGATTAGAGTATTAGGACAAAAAAACTGAAACGAACTAGACTTCTCGATTTAGCCTAAAGTGCTGACACAACCCTTTTGCGTGTCTTGCTTATTTATATGTAATATAAATTCAAAAATACGATAGAGCAAATGTAATAATTAGTCAGTTTCATTAGTTTTATGAGAATTTATAACCACCCAAAAGCGTTTTCGGTTGGGTTAAAGTCCTTCACTATTGATACGTCTAATGGCAATTTGAATTCGACTATCTTTGTTTCTCGATAACTTTTAAAATCTATAATAAAAAAAAATTACATTGGACTCAATCAATATATTTGACTACAAGGTATTTTTATGTATTTAAGAATTGATAGGAACAATTATAATAAATTGACGCTAAACATATAATACACAGATTGGAATAAGGATACATTCATAAATTCTAACCAAATATCAAGCATAGATAATATATACACACACATATACGTGCAGATTTAATCTATAAACATTTAAGATTCTTAACATATAGGTTCAAAATTTTAAATAATCGTATGTACATAAATATTGTATATAGTATAAAAATAACTGAATAAATTAATGACAAATCTATATAGACAACACACAGCAGGGACGAGACGATCAAAGATAATAATTTTTATAAAATAACCATAAAAAAAATCCAATAGTGCATATTTTTCCTACAGGTTTCTTTTATACTTGCTCTTTATTTAATAATCTTGAAAATTAAAATTGTTAGTCACTTATAAATATTGTCATCAATCAGTTTACATATTATGTATACATCTATATATAAATATATATGTACTCAAAATTACAGTGATTTTTCATTTTGCTTGTCTGTAATTTTTCAAATGATTTTTCCTCCCTTTATAAATTCTTCGAAGGAATCACATTAAACGAAACAAAAAAACAAAACACATACTACATAATAGTTAAGAACATACGCCTTGAAATTTTTATAAAAAAATAAACACAAGTCCTTACACATATACACAAAGGATTAATAAGAAAGAGAAAAACCAAAATTAAGAAATAATTAAGCTTTTGAATTCAAAAATGTCTGAACAAAGAACAAAAACGTTTTTCTTTAATTTTCTATATATTTTTTCTTTCTATATGTACGCATATACACACATCAATTTTAGTATACAACAATAATAATAATAGCAATAATAAAAAATTTAACTATTTCACGCAAACTATAACTATTTTCGGACTTTGATAATTTTAAAACAACTTAGATTACAATTTCTTTCATATACATTATATACACATTAATATAAATATATAAAAACGCATGCACGTGCATAAATTTCTCAATATATATCTAACATCTCTATATATATATATATAACATTTTTGTATACACACATGTATGAATGCTTTACTGAATACAATGTCCTTTCATTTATAAACATGAAATAATATGTATTATATGTATAGATATATGTAATACAAAAATATAAATAAACAAGACTTACATATATATGTAAGTATAAGAGAAATATATATATATATATCAAAATGTTCATATCCTTTAAGTCCTTGAATTTCTTAAATTTATTGTTCTTTGACCCAATATGCAAATTACGAAATTCACTATATAGGTACTTGTATAAATTTTATTGTATTTTGTATATAAATTTTTACAATTCAATAAAGAAAAAACTATCATACTATACGTAGTTTTTTATATACTATAGAACAGTGTATATAGAATTTTGTTATGTATTTTGCACCCACATTTCGATATATTCAAAAAGATTGCACCCACAATGTAACATTTTGAATTTTTAAGTTGATTTTAATTAAGTAATATTTCTACGATATTGTTCATTAATATTTTTATGTTAATTTGAAACCGTTATGTAAAATTTGAAACCGCGCTGAAACCAATCATAGAAAAAATATAGCAAGAAGAAAACGTACCAAAAGATTGGAAAACAGAAATAATTTTAAAGTTACCCAAGAAGGGAGATCTGACGCAATGCAAAAACTGGAGGGGTATTACCCTTTAACAGCATTACTAAGGTTGTAGCCCTAATAATATACTCCAGAATAGTCGAAAAATTGGATGCATCAATCAGAGAAGAACAGGCGGGGTTGCACAGAACATGCGAACACTTTGAGACTGATCATTGAGCAGTCGATAGAGTGGAACAGCACGTTATTTCGTGATATAACAGTATTATTTTAAAGGTGCAATACATTTAACAGTTATTTGCACATTGTTTATTAAAGAAAACTTGTATTATGAACTCATATATTTTAGTTTTAGTTTTTATTAAAATTTTAAAGAATTTTAAAATTTTTATTACATAGGACAAGGAACCTTAGTGTCGGTTTGACTTTGTTATTCAAATATTTTCATATAACATTTTACATAAAGGGATCTTAATCATTAATATAGTATACAAGGCACACATTATGTGTATATTTACTAGTATAAAATAAACATATACATATATACATATACATATAATCTAAGGTATGAAAAAGTACTCAAAAGTTCAATTAGAAGAATTTTATAATGTCTAGGTTATTATACCACAGCTACATTTTAGTATAAATTAAGTATAAATTGTGTAGTTCAACTTCACACAATTCACTTTATAAATAATAAAAAGTACAAAGAATCCATTATTTATTGCAATATTTATATTATTAGACTGAAGGTGGTGCATAATTCAAAAATAAAATTCTATATTACATACATACTTATTCATGCATATGTACATATATTCAAGTTTTAAGAATTTTAAGAAAAAAAAAAACATAATGTTGGTGATATTAGTCATTTCCGATTGCATAAAATAAAAAATAATGATCCGCCATAAAAAAGGAATTATGCATTAATAATTAATCTTTTTTTTTTCTAACTTTTACTTTTGATTTATAATAAGAATTGCAATTGCCATATACATGACAAAAATTAATTATAATTTTAATATTTTTATATTTAGAAAATGGAAAATAAAAATTCTTTTAAATAAAAAGCGAAATAAATTAAAATGTCACAATAAAACATTTCTGTGCAAATCACAATTTTTATTAGAATTCTTTTTAAATACAAGAATTTTTAAATTTTAAATTTTAGTTTATAAAACTTGAGAAAAACTTTAAACATTGAGAAAATGTTGACGTCATCATTTTCTCTCATTGTTTTTAGTAGAGTTTAAAAAGAGAACTTTAAACATAAAATAAGACTAAAATACACTCATTCATTTTTTCTGATTGAAACTAAAAAATTACAACTTTTTCTATACTTGAGCCTATTCAATAGCCTGTTCAACATTAAGAACTATTAAATACTTGATCTTGTTTCTATTTCATAAAAATTTTCAAATTAATTACAATTAATAACCAAATATATTTTACAAAATAATGTCAATCTATACTAATATCAAGAATGTATAATTTTGCCTAAACAGTGCTTGTGACATGAAAATTATTTTAAATGACCGAGCCATAAAGGATTTTTTTTGAGATATTAAACATTTTTTGAAAAATTTTCAGTTTTCGCATTCAAAATTTCCTATTTAGCAGATATTACTTGAATACGGTAAATCTTATGTCAACCATTAACATTAACGATATGTTGGTCTATTAACTGAGAAAAAGAGTTGCGAACAACATACTTCTCTAGATTTAACAGCTTCTTGACTGTTACAGATATTTGTCAGACAAAATATTTTTAATTTGATTTTACAAAGACATCCCCAAAACAACCCCAAGAAGAGTTCTACACCACAAAATGGAATGAATCGCATTAAACATCTCGCCCCCTATGAAGCGATTAAGAGTAATGAAGTCTCAATATAATTTTTTTGTCTGATATCAAAATAATCAAATTGTAGAATTTAAAAAATAGATGTAAAACCATAATTAACTTACAAAAATTTCAATAAAAAAAAAATACTACGAAATTTACACGTTCTCATTCCAGACTTTTAATAATCACAAAACCACACACACATATACACCATTTTATTCTATTATAATTTTTATGATTTTCTCAATAAGGTTCGTTTATTATTATATTGAGCAATATATTAAGACACGTGTGTAATATCAATTAATTTGTCAATAATCAACTATTTTTTTTATCGCATTTTTATATTTAAATATTTATTGATTTTCATAAGTACATTGTACATTTATATGGACATACATATAAATAGACAAATATTATTATTGAAAAGGCAATGTCCTTTTTTAATAAACACAAAGTATTCATCAATTTTTTTTTATATTGATTAAATATTGAATGTTTTTTATATTGAGTTATGTCTCGAAAGGCTATTGCTTTAATACCATCTTTAAAATTCGTTTATTTCTTAAATAATTTTAGCTTTTAAAGGACAAATTAAAGTCGGATGAAAGAATGAGGAATGTAACTTTGTCTTAAAAATAAACTGCACGAAATTATAAACATTAACCAATAAAAGAATTTTCGAAATATGACTCATATGAAATATGATTTTTAATAATATTAATTAGATTTTTTTCGAAAATAACATTTTCAGCAATGAATTCAGGACACAATTTTCCTATAACATATTCAAATAACCCTCTATTTCTCATCATTAACCTAGTATAACACACGCTATTATGGTTATTACTTAAAGAATAAATCAAATTGCATGGTCAGCATTTCAAAATAAAATTCTTTAACTTGTTTGTAAACCATGGGCCTAAATATTAGAAATGAAAACAAAAATATGAAATATGAAAATGAGATTTTATTTATTAAAATAAACACAAAATTTAAATCTATTTGTTCTTACCTATCTGCATCCGGCATATTGATGATAGTTTTCAATTCTTCTTATTATCTGGGTATTATATATGTATATTATAATTTGTTGTATATATATTTTATTTTAATAAATTAATTTACATTTTAATATTTCAATGACTTAACAAAACTTTTATTATAACATTTTTTTAATCGATATAATAAAAATATTTTATTAAAATCAACCATCATTTTCTATAATATTAATTGAAAAAAAAATAAATTCGAAATAAAAAAAAAATCAATTAAAAATTAATTATATGTTGATCATTTTAATACGGAATAAATATTAATTAAAATGTTTGAAAATTTATTGAATTTTATATGTTAATTCTGCTGCATTTGCTTTAGACATATTGAACGACATATTGATAATGGCTATATCAATGACAAAATTTTGCCCAATTGACAATCATTTAACGCATTTAACAAGTTTTGTGGTAACGCCAACAGTAAAAAGAATTATATTATAAAATATAATTATCATTAAAAATTATTTATTATTTCAAAATTATTAAGTGCTTTATGATAAATACGGTCAATTCTTGTAAGCGTTTAATAATATTTAAATAATTATTTTTACCGTTTAAATAAAAAATACTTGATAAGAATTGAATAACATCCTGTATATTCTACCAGTATCTAAAAAAATTTTAATTATATAATACAAATTTCATTTGTAATGTTAAATAGCATAGCTGCGCATAAGATCTAGACAAAAAATAAATTTTATCTTATTACATTTATACTTATGTATATATATTGTTATTACTATTTTACTCATTTTTTTCTTGTAATTCAATAGAAGCTTATCATCAGTTTCTTATCAAAATTACATTTTCTTACAAATTTTATTCAGATTCTTGTATATAAATTAAAAATTTTGTAGAATTTACTATTCTAGAAATGGAAAATGTGAAATGAATATTAAAATACGTCGTCTATTTTTTTCATCAATTAAATGAAATTATTATTGATAATTTTTTACTCATATTATTAAATAGTTCGAAATTATTACCTGAGCCCTATTAAACTAATCACTGTATTACTTCTACTTTTGCTTTTATTTTTCAACTTTTTAAAAATTTTAGCATTCTTTATTAAATTCATAAGTTATTAGTGTATTGGCTTTTGATGCAAAAGAAATACAATACAGCCTGTTTTCGCTAAAATTTATTTTCAATTTTGTATAACTGAAATTTACTTTAATATAATTATAATATGAACATAATATAATAACAAAATTTCAGATATGATTTTTAAATTAAATTTCGACACTCAAAAAAATTTGCAATTAAGTACGTATATAACACACATTATATTATAATAAATAACACTCGTAACCTATGCCTATAGTATATTTTAAAAAAATATTATCCCTGAAAACACAAAACTTTTCTGTATAACTTAGTATCTTTATCCTTATCTACCTTTATTACAAAATAACAAGAAAAAATATTAACTTTAAAAAAAAAATTTGAAACAGAAAGAAAATAATAAATAAATATTTTTCATAATATAGAAAAATAAAATCAGTAAAAAAAAAAAAACATAAAATTTTGCAAATCTATCATACACAATATCTATATATATACATACTCATATATATATATAAATAAAAATATTTCAAGGACACATCTACATATCCTATAATATTTTATATGTATATATATTGAATAATATCAGACATAGTAAAAAGAGAATAACAACAATAAGGATAAATTTTATAATAAAAAAAAAATAAAAAATATTAGGTCAGCTGTTTAATAGAGCACAAGAAAATAAATGTAGAAAATTCCCTTAAAATTTACATATGTATATTATACGTGTAATAACATTAAATACAAATTATGTACATAATAATTTGTACATATATATTTCTTTAAAATGTAATGAATGCATAAATTGCACTGCAAGAATACTGAGAACTGAATGCACATAATGTGCTTTAAAATTTCATATTTCCTATTTGTATTCCGAACAAGAACACATTAAACAAATGAGTTAGACTATCACGGCTAGCGTTAGATTTCAATAAATTACATGAAATTTATAAAAATTTATAACTTACATTTTCAAACATTTTAATATATTTTTTTTAAATTTTTATAAAATATTTTGAAAAACAAATTTTAATTTCTTATTATTGAAAAACAAATTATTTTTCTTATATACCATAAAATATTTAATAAATAAAATTCTTAATATATGAATATAATAAAAAAAAAATTAAATTAAAATTTTTACTTTTTAAAAATTAAGTCTACCGTTATTTTATTTGCGTGTTCATCACAAAAAAACTAAACTAACACTGAATATTGAATTAAAAAAGAATAAAAAAAAAAATAAATTTAATAGAATTCTACCAATGATTTAAATATATATATACATATATTTAAATTTATCCCTTCATATACCTTTCACTATAATAATATTATAGTCCTTTTATATTATATGTATAGTATTGCTGTACCGTCACCTCTAAACTCTATTTAAATGAATGAGTATAAAGAGCCTTTAAATGTTAAACAAAAATTAGTAATTTAGTGTAAAAATAAAGAAAGTATAAAAAAAAATCCAAACACATAATATATACATAATATTTTTTTAACATTTACTCAACAATATATATATATACTAGCACTTTCATTTCATTAACATGACATTCACATAATAATTTATCTACATACCCTATATTTTTCAATATAGTACGAGTATTCCATACAAAAGTAAACAAGCATTTTGTATTAACATACAAAATACATTTAACATTATTTTATCGTTTAGTATATTCAAGATTTTTTATTGAAATACATATATACATAATGTACTCATATTATACAGTTATATTACATATAATTACAAAGTACCCATATATAATTATAAAATGAAGATTATCCAAAAATAAAAATAAAAGAATCACTTATTTTGTTAAGTTGATTTAAAATTAATGAACAAAATTTTAGTTAGAAAACGTAAAAAGTGAATTGAAAAGTTGAAGTTGATATATGTTGCATGGGTGCTTACAATATGTTATGTAAAATTGTGATTGAATTCATTATTTAGTATCCTGGAAATTTCAATGTCCTTTTGGAAAACTTTTAATTAATACATTCAAGCATTATTCGGTTTCTTTCCAAAATTGTTTCGTTCCATCGTGCAAATTGTATTGATAAATTTTCTTATTTACAAATTTTTTTCAAATTGTTATAAGCTTTTATAAAAATATTTACTTCAATTTTAATTTCATTTTCAATACCAGTATTCGTTTTCTCTTAAATTAATGTTGAAAATGAAGGTTAACAATAAATTTTGTAATCAGTTAATAAATACCTAATAATATTATTATCAAACACTATATGGTATAGAATCGAATGCTTTTCTTATTTTTTTACTTTCTTTTCGAGATATTTGGTCCAATTTTTATATTTTCTTATAACTCGGAAAATTTGACAAATAAAGGTGATTTTGGTTTTACTTACTTTTTTTTTAAAAATTTGACAACGGCTTGCTTTTTCATGATTATTTTTTTGGTTGCACTACCCCATGACGGTCAGGTCGTCGTCGAGCGCGCGTGCGATAACAATTGCTTATATGGTTTATATAACAGTTGCCGCTTTACACGCAATAATTATGATGATTTGCGAAGAAAACGATTTTTAGTATAAAAATAATTTTAATTTATAATTGAAATAGTTCGTGATTTTAATATACTATTTACTAAATAATACAAAGAATGTAAAATTAAATGAAAATTAAAAATAAAATAAATAACATTAAAATTAGAAAATTTTAAATACTTCATACCGCTTCTCATTCAAAATTAAGGAATTCTACCAATATAAATTTTTATAAAAAATTAATATAGAAACTAAATAAACTATCTAAAACTAATAAAGTAAAATCATGAATATTAAGAGGATGATTTATACAAATATGTATATTGTCCATAAATTTATTTTTATTTAAAAAAAAAAAATCAAAACCTTAATGGAAAATCTTTTCATTATCCTGTTTTTTATTTGCATTTTATTTTCATTAATGTCTTTTAGATTTTTTTTATCTTCGTTTATCTTTTTCGCTTAAGGATATATAAAAGGATATTTTATATATAAAAATGAATTATATAAAGGATAAAAATTCCATTCGAAAACATACAAACAAACATCTTTTAAAAATTTGTTCTCTTTTCCACAAAAATATCACGTGTAAAAAATATTGGGTATAAGCTATGAAAAAAAAAAAGAAATTACCAACAAAATTAGCCATTTTAAATCTTAAAAGATAACAAAAAACCCTTGCAACTAATAAAAAAAAAATATTTCTCTTTACATATTTTGTATTTTTACTTAATGAGTTATCCTTTTTTTTTGTTAGGTTCCGTTTAAGATATTTTCAAAATTCAATATCATTTTAAGAATTATATTTTTGAATACCCACACGTTCTTAAAAATGTCTACAGTTTACCATCTTTCTATGGTTCGCGTGTAATCTTTTATCCGCAATAAAATCGAAAATATGTGCATACTTCATATTAAATTAAATCGCTAAAAAATATTTAAATTCATTTAAAATTCATTTACGTTAAAACTATCATATATTTCGATTTATTTGAGAATGAATTCATATTATAACACTGGAATAAAATTAATAAAACCTGAAATTCCAAATACATAATCTTAATTTTTACATATATATTGAATGTAATATTCAAAACAATAGAGGTATCATGTTATTTTATGCCAATTTACATAATGTATACGCAATATAAATCAACATAATAATATATGAAGAACCATTTCCTTAACATTCAAAAATTTAATAAGGGTTATGAATTTTCACTACTCATATTTTTATTGTACGAGTATTTTAATGCAAAATATCAATTTTACAAACCTTAACAACAAAATTCTTTAACTATAGAAGATTTGATTTTTCGCACATTCATTTACATTGTAATTTATATTATATTGTAGATTATATATGCACACTCATTCACATATAAATGTATTACATTATGTACACCGTAACATCGAAACTTTTAATATTCATAAATTAAATATTTATATTCATTATTTAAATAACATAATACGTACAACAAAATTAATATTTTCTTGTATAATTTTGCATTTTCTTTTGAACATTTTTTGAAAGAAAATAAAACTACTTAACTTCACTTTTTGAACTCAAGGAAATAATTATTGTAAAAGAGTAAAAAAAAAAGGATTTCTTAAAAAATTTATTGCTTATTATGGAAATCTGTTCTTTATTTTTCATTATTTTAGGGTATTTTCTTTATAAGAAGAATATGACAAAAATTATAAATAAAAATTTTATAAGCTATGTACAATGTACACCTACAGTTTTATTAAGAACCCTCTGTTCTTTACTTAGGAATGTTTATAAAGATTTTAATGAAAATTTTATGTATTTTTTATACCTACGTTATAATATGTACATATTTACATATATTTTTTCTTCAAATTTTAAGCAATAAGATTTATAAAAAAAAAAACTTTGTGATAAATCTTTAAATATTAAAAATTTATATTTTTGCATTTTATAAGCAATAAAATAGTAAATACTTTCATATATACTTATAGGATAATACGATTGGTATTAAAGTCAATTAATTATGGTCTTCAGTTAATTATCAATAATCCAGAAACGTAATAAAAGCCAATCTTAATTAAAAACAAACATTTCAGTCTAACAATTTTCTTAAGGAAGTATTATTTTCAGAAATTCATATTTTCATTCATCTTTTAATACTCCACATTCTCACGTTGTAATTTCTATTGAAAACTTAAATCAAATAGCTTTGTTAATTTTATAAAAATCAAAAAAAAAAAATTAAACAAAACAAATTTAATTGCAATTTATAGTTACTATTTGGCCCAATTACGAAATATGTATTTCAATTTTCAATATTTATATACAACAATCATGAAATATTTATATTTAATCACGAAAACAGTATCATTGAAAAATCAGTAATAAATTTTAATTTCATTTTATTTTAAGTCTATAGGTTCACATTTTATTCTATTTCTGTCAATACGTTGTATTTGTTGTCTTTTTAAAAAACTATTTTGCCCTAAATGAGATCTTTAATTTATTAAGCAAGCCAAAAAATTCTTAAAAATTAATGATTTTTCTGAATGAAGAAAAACCAATTCAAAGTGTCTATCACCAATTTTCTGTTAGTCGCCTCACTTTTATTATACGTTTTCAAATTTCAAAATTGATTTTATTCAGAAACTTATAAAATTTTTGAATAGCAACCCATCATGTTAAGTGATACGTCCAACAACATATAAAAGTGGCCGTATATTTATCCTTGAAGCTCTTAAGCGCAAATTTTCAAAAGTTTTAATTAAATCAATTTTCTATCTATGTAATTATGAGTTTTATTTTGATCAAATTAAAATTATCTTTTAACTTCTTAAATATATAAAAATTATTTCATTTTACGATAATGGAAAATATTTTCAAAATAATTTCTCGAAAATACATTCTAAAAACGTAACGTAATTTTTGATTCTTCCTTTATCCTTCTTTTTTAATATAAATATTTAATTTTGGCATTATTCACGTTAAGTTTTAATATTCATAACTCTTTTTTGTTTTTTTTATTGCAAATTTTGAAAACGGATTGAAAATTAGGAAAGATTATCTAAGAACAATAATATTTTAGAAGTATGTATGTCAAGTACATACTGACCTGCTTAATGTGATAGTAAATAGAAAGTTTCACAATTGCAAAAAAATTTTGAATTTTATTATTTTAAAGTATCTGGGTCATTTAATTTAAGAAAAATTTTGAATTTGATTTTGGATAAACGGAGAACTTTAATAAAAACGTAATCCAGCTGGCTTAGTTCAAAAGGCTTCCTTTTTTCTTTAAAATAGATTGTTTCATTTTGATTTTGTATATTGATTGTTTCAAAATTTTGTATATTAAGTTTGTGCTGTTAAAAAACACAATTAGTTTTAGTAAATTCAAATAGACAAAACATTTAAAAAGAATACCTCACAAGAATATTAAATACAATCTTGAAAACGTTCTACGATAATTCCACACAATACAAAAAAATATTCTCATCAAAAAATATTGTCAATTATTAAGAAAGACATACATACATATTTCAAAACTAAATATATAAAACTAAACATATTTTAGCTTAAAAAATTCAATTTTTTTCAATTTGTAATATTTATATTTAATAATTAATAATTGTGATATATGTATATAATAATGTTACAAGTGCTCAAAAAAGATATTCACCTTCTTACTAATTAATATCATGTACATATAATTTTGTGTACATACAAATCATTTGCTATTATATTTACATAATTTACAAAAAAAAATTAAGATTTTAAAAACTTTTTTAATTAAATTATTTTAATTAAAATTAAGGAATGAACAAAATATTTTTAAGTGTTTACGATTATTTTGCCACATAATATTTATTTTTTTGATAAACCTTCCCATCTATCTGGAACTGAAAGAAAATAGCGATCCATTGCCTCAATAAAACGTTGTTTATATCGTTCCGGTCGAATTACAGTTGGTAATTTTCCTTGTCCCGCTAATGATTGTTTGACGAAGGATTCAACCTTTTTATCGAAGGTAAATGTGCGTATATAATCTAAACAAATAAAAACAGATATTAATTCCCAAAGTATAAAATTTAATTTTAATAAATTTACCTATGATACCAAGAACTAAAACTTTATTTCCATTATCTAATCCTACTAATAATGAATAGTCCATGACATCATTCTTTTCTAAAAATGATGAGTCTCGATTTATGGCTTCTTTTAATATCGTCTTACTATGAGATAATATGTAGAGAGGTTTCGACCATGACACTATAAAAAAATCATAACACATTAATAAAAGAATATCGAATAAATACTTTCAAAAGCATATACATACTCTGTATTAAATTTTCATCTAACAAAACTATTTCTCCTCCATTTTGATTCGTTGGATCCACTAAACGATTTCTTTCTGACCCTTTCAAATCAAATTTATTTTTAATATCGCAATCATAAAATAAATTTTCCATGACAAGTAAGCACTTTTCTTGTAAAAAACTGCAATAAAATTTAAGTTTTTAATAAAAAAATATCTTAATTTATTTTGTATTGACATACTCTTTCTTCTTTACAGTTACACGATAAACCCCCAAAATTTTAGCTAAAAGTGTTGGATTATTTTCTTTTAAACACTTACTTATATAATCAAAATAATTTGAAGCTAAATTTTCAAAAATTGCCACTTCCCTTTGACTCATTTCCTTTAATACAAATCTATCGTCAAGAGTTTTACTGAACTTTGAACCACTTTTACCGCCTCTTGCTTCCCATTGCACACTTCTACATAGTGAGCGCGCTAAAAATAATCGAGTTTCATCTGTAATATCATTTTGATTTATTGCAAATTCTCGAGATGATTCAGTTGTTTTATTATTTAAATTGCTACTACTTGTTTTTCTTAGTAGCTCATTTTCTGCTACATTAGACTTTTGTGTTATACGCGAATCATCCATCTTTTTACTAATCTCTATATCTTTATATGCACTTTTATTAAGTTTGGGTGGTTGCAGTACAACAGAGCGAAGTTTGTCAAACTCTTTAGCAAAATAAATTTTACACGTAAACTGTGTTGTTAAATCTTGATAATACAATTCTATATGAAAATTTGACTTCACCGTTTTTTTTTCTTCTGTTGATTCAAATTTTACACCCCCATCCTTGTCTTCTGGTTCAACAGAACTATAACAATAAAATATAATATTATTAAAATATTAATCTTCTTGCATACATTTTTTGATTACATACTTATCATGAGATTTCCTTTTCATATTTGGGCTTCCATTAGTTGAATTCGCTTCGTTTTGGGTAACATTTGGAGAATTTAAAGATTCTAAAGACTTTTTATAATCATTTGAAACTAAGCAATATGCTATAATTGAGCTTAAATCCTGGTCATGAACTAATATTGGAAAAGCACCCAAAGGTAATGTTAAGTGCTCATTTAATGACATCGGAGAAGGCAAAACATTTACTTGCCCAGTATTTGGTAAAAGTTGACTCAGCATCTTTTTAATCGTTTTTTTGTCTGAAGATGAATCTGATGTATTTTTTACTTTAAAACTGTCTTTACTTTTTATTAAAGGTGGAGAGTTTTGTTCCACGTCACTATTATTTGTTGTTGTGTCAATGTTTGTCGCTTGATTATCAGTTATTGAACAATCTGCTAACGATGGCAACTTAGAACTATCACTTGTTGGAGAATCCAAATCCGTTTTCAAATCTTCAGTGCAAATTTGTCCAGAATCAACATGTGAATTTTCTTGTTTATTTGTCAGAACTTTAATTTGAGAAGATGCGTCACTCAATCGTGGACCCCATAACTCAATACTTTCAGCTAGAGCACGTTTCGATTTCAACATTGCATCATTAATATCATAAGAATTCACTTGCTTTTCTGTTAGCAAAGTTTGAACAATTTCTATATGTTGCTTAAATATTAACTGATCGCGATTTAATACACCCTTGAGACCATTTAACATAGGGCAATCGTCTTCAGTTGATAATTCCGCTATTTTCTCATGAATTTTCGAATAAATTTCATGTCCTTGAACTGAAAATTTTTTTACGTCTTCTAATACTACCATATTATCGAATGGTTTCGGTTGTTTCAATACAATTATTAAAGGCGGTAATCCAATTTCCCAAACGTCTATTGGTGTGTAAGTAAACTTTGCCATTATACCTTTGTTAGAAAAGTAATGAACATAATCTTTATGCATTGAATGAGGGCACTTGCTAATTTGTTCAGATTTTTCATTTGAACTATCTTGAATTTCTCGTATCTTATAAGAGTGACCATAAAAATGTAATTCTAAATACTTGGCAAAGGAAAAACATTTTGTATCTTCAGATATTGCTACACTAGGAGTATAGACGTTACACTTAGAGCATGCGGACATCAAAAAAATTTTGTCGCTTTCGTTTTGATTTGGATCTTCCGTTAATTGAACTTGTACACACCCCATCGAATGAACATACCTACTTAAATTTGCAATATCACAAAACAATTGTATTTTAAATCAAAATTTGAATATTACCTTCTAACATGATCCATCATTGGTAAATTACAAAATTGGCATATGTAACTTTTGAAACAGTAACGTTGTAAAAATTGCCCAAGCATAATATCTTGCTGACCATAAAATTTCATATCTAATAAGTAGGGTTGTGCACATAAAGAGGAAGCAGTTTGAGGATTGTAATAGAAACTACAAAAAAGAACAGGTAAGCGCTGATGGTTTTGCAAATCAAGAGCATCTTTATAAATGAAATCCTCGGGCACCTTTTGCGGCTTCTGTATCGACTCTTCTCTCTTAAGAACTTGAAATTTCTTATTTGTTTTTGGATAACGGCCACCAAACGCTCTAAATTCCGCCAATAAAGTTTGAATTTCTCGATCGTCAAATGGTTTTGTGATTTGCATTTCCAAAAAGGGATGAACGGGATTTAACATTACATTGTTCAAATTCTTATTTTTTTCAAAATCAGTCAGCTCGTTTGACACAGAATTCCTTTCAATATTGTTATTAGACCACTGCTTTGAAAAAAATAGCTCATTTGGAAATAATGATCTAAGTAAACATTTACGACCTTGTTCTGTTTCCAAGTACGGGAGCGGAAATGCAACGAAGGGACTAATAGATAAAACTGTTGAACTTAAAGCAGTTCTAAAGCGGTTATCGTAAGGTGTTTCAACAGCAAATTCTACAACGGAAACGTCTGGATCGGTTTTTGGTGATGTAATCTCTGGTGCACGCAAAGGATCGCTAAAATCGCACACATTCTCAATTGTAACTAATTTTTCTTCAGACTTCTTTTCCACTAAACGTTTATGTTGCGGTTCTTCTACTAAATCAGATTCGTCTTCTTTCAAAGATAATATTTCTCCAGAAAAAGAATCTGGGGATTGCTTTTCGTTGCCGTTTATTTCATCTTCATTTTTTACATCTGTAGAAGGGGAATGTTCCTTAGAATCAAAAATCAATAACTTTGGGGATGGAGGTCTCGCAAATTCATCCAACAAAAATGACATTTCTAAACGCCAATTATATCTGGCATAAACTAATAATGAAGAAACTTTTTTTACTTTTGCTAATTCAGAAACACTACCACCACGAAGTAAACAATAGCAGCATCTTGCATTCGAAAGCATTTCAAAGAACATTAATGTTTTGTAGGAACCTTAAAAATATTGTTTTTTTTTTCAAAATTAAATATTATAAAGGTTTTGCTTTGAAAGATTAACTTACCCTTGCCATCGCTAAAATTTTTAGTATAAAAAACATCGCACACACCTAGTTTTGCAGGCCGAAATTTTGACTCTATCGAAGTAACAATGTCACATTGCAAACATTTAGCCAACCTTTCCATAACTGATAATTTAACATCCAATACCAACGTTACACCTGCAGACCTTAGCATATCTTGTGCGATCCCCGCCACATCTTTATGTACCAAAACAACGTCAGGTTCAAAACTCAAAATTCTCTGTGTAACATTTCGGAGATATTCTCGCTCTTGCAGCAATAACTTTTCAAAACTAACAAATTTTCCTTCTACTCTTTCGAAAGCTATAGGACACTGTAGCAATAAAACTTTTGGTTTCTCTATTCTTGTTAGCATTTCTTTATGTGCAACATTTTTAGAAAATACAACTCCATTAATTAATGTGCTATCTTGCCGTGTACCCCCAGCGATCTTTTTGAAATTTATATAATTCCTTATATCCATCAAATCGTTGGTAAGATACTCAGGTCGAAAATGATTAGCAACACGTGCACATAATTGAATCAGAATTTTTGACCATTGTTCATTCAAATTATAGTTTCTTAACATTTGACTAAGTAAAAGCTCTTCATGATCACAGTAAGATTTAACTAATTTTGCTGTAGTTTTGGATTTAATAGAATTTTCTAGCTCAACATCTTTTAATGATTGAAAACTTAAGCTTTCATCGAAGGAAGACTTAAAAAACTTAAAATCTGCAATAAAAAATGCTTTCTCTTATATGATTTTCATATTAAAGATTCAAACGTAAAATCTATTAATTCCATTCTGTATCATTTTTTTATTCACTTTTTTTAGCCACTTTATGTCACCTTCCATAAGAAAGTGATTGCACTAAATTTTATATAAATTTTGTATAATTTTTGAAAAAGCGAGATAATACGAAAAAAATATTTTCATGTAATAAACACATTTTACAAAATTATAACTCCCCTATTGCTCACAAGCAGTGATTAAAAAAATGAGGTACAGAATGAGGTCATAAAATAAATATTACCATTGCTATCGTCAACAAATTCGGAAAAGGTAGGATTATCCAAAGGTAAAGATTTGCTCATATGTACAGAATTTGTCTCGTAATCTACGTCTAATTGAATACTCCCACTACGAGTTATGGAATCTACTTTTCTTATTAATTTATAATGCAGGTTCTCGTCAAAATCTCTCTGTTCAGAGTCTGGTACAAGGGGAATTAAAAAACCACCCTCTAACATTGCGTTTAAAATTGCAATAGCTTGTACTTTATTAGATGATTTTTGATTAGTTATTAGAAAAGCAATTAAATCCAAGCCACAATTTTGAAGAGGAAGTAATCTTTTCATTTCTTCATAGAGACTTTTCAATGAATGTGATTGCTGTAAAATATTTTTTCTATCAGCATTGGACAAAGTCATTGTAGGCTGTGTGGTAACAAATCTTTCTTCTTGATAACCGACTGAGATCTTGCGTTGGATCGCCAAATTTCTTGGCTCGATAGTTTCATTAGTTTCTTGATGATGATGAAATTTATTAGATAAGTCCTGTTGAAGTGCTTGTAAATCATGTTTTAAATCAAGTGCTATGTCTGATGATTTTAAGTAACTCAACACAATTTTCGAACAATATGTGCACACTTTTAAATCTCCTAAATTTTGTCCGGAAATAATATATGAGGCATTACATAATTTATAGTACGAGAAATATACGCTTACCTGAACACATTATTATTCGACCAGGTACTACCTGATTACAACATTTTGAACAAAATATTTGACCACACAAACGACAATGATGTTTTCTTCTAAAAGTTGAAAATTTTTGCCCGCAGTCATAACATTCCTTTGCTTTCTCATCTGGCATCCATAATCGTTGAAGATCAGTTTCTTTATAATTTCGTAAATTCTGCAATCAAATCAAAACATACAACTACAGCTTTTATCTTAATTTTAACTTTAGCCAATTTGAAAATGAATTTTTTCTAGCTAAACTAAATTTTTTCAAAAATATCAAAAATTTCAAAGAATATTTATGCACCTAACTAAAAAATTTGTATCATTTAAATTTAAAAACCTATGTACAAATGCAGTGTATTCAAACATTACAATATTATGAACTTTTATAGAATTTTCGTACCATATATTACTTACATTATTTTTAGAAGCCACTATATTGCTTATTCTTTTTAAAACGTTGAGCATAGTTCTTCCCTCTTGGTTATCGACCGGTAAAGCAGGAGGCTACAAAAATTGTGCAATTGTCAAATATTCGCATTAATTCAAAATATGAATATTAAAAAAGAATTTAAGTTTTTAGAATATATCTTATGTAAATACTCACTTTTTCTACCAATTCCGGAGATTCGTCATTACTTATAATTGATATTGATTTTTCAGAACTTGATGTTGATACCTCCGAAGTCTTCGACATTTCATTACGAGATTCATCTACATTACATAAGCTAGTTTGTGACAAATTTTGCTGAGGGGAAATAATTGATGAAGATTGTGCCATCGAATCTCTACTAAAAGGTACATCATTTACAGTATTATAACTAGTATTATAAGCATTTGTAATTTTGTTAACAAATTTTGTAAGTAATGTTTCAGGTTGTTCTTCGAAATTTCGTGCAAATTCGGTCAACTTTGTAGGCGAGTGTAAATGACGATTCATTGTTTATATTCTTTTTTCAGTTTTTTTTTTGTTTTTTTTTTTTTTTTTTTTTTTTTTTTTTTTTTGGCTTTGTATTTATGATTCAAATTATGCTCCGGTAATATTTATCTGATCGCTAATAGCTAATTCAGGAGCCAATGTTCCCAAAGCCAAGTCAGTCCATCTTTGTTCCTGAAAAAATACGATTAAAACACTGAATTTAAAAGGTTATCTAAAAAAAAAAACCTGTTCAGTAAGTGTCAAGTGAGAGTCACCACTATCTGCTTCCGGATCAGGTAATTTGTCAGCTGGTACTTGGATTTGGTCAAATGGTAATTCGTCTTCACGCCACTCGTTATCTACTATATCCAGAAAATTATCATCAGTTGGTGGCTGCACAAAATTTTTCAAATAAAATGAATTAGGGTTTTGCTAAGCAATTAAAAAAGATTTTTTTAATTTTTTTCTTACCTTACTATCCATAATAAACAAAAAAATACAAATTATTTTTTTGGATTTTCAGCAACCCCAATAAGAACAAAAAAATTCGAATGCTGCTGATTCAGAAATGACAAACAGCTGATGAGGAAACGTCAAAAATAATTAGTCAGAATTATGGACCTATGGAATTTAAGTTCCCTCTTTTAAAATATTTTCAATTGCAAGATTGATTTAAAATGTTGGTTAGGATTTGAAATTTTAAATTAATTGATTTGTATTAATGAACCATAAATAATTTCTTACATACCACTACTACTTTTGTTAAAACAAAAATTTCAGTTTTTATTTGTGATTGCTTAACTCGCTACATTATTTCAAATCAAATTAGTAAATAAATAATAAACACCTGATAATACGTGTTGTACTTTCAGCTCACAGCTAAAAATTTTGTTTGGCTCCTGGCACCATTCTGTAGAAAAATGTTTTTTTGACAAATCTAAATAAATTGACAACACAATTTTTTGACAGTTGAAGCATAAAAATTTTAGTTGGCATTTTTTGTTTTTATTATAGAAATTAATAAATTATTATATACACCCGTACACTGTTACTGTATACGCTGGAAGAAAATTTAAAAATTTCGTATTCGCAGTATAATTTTTTATATATTCTGACTCAACAACTTGTTATTGATTGGATGATAAAAAAATACTTAGCTAATTTAAAAATATTACAACGCATAATGAACAATATTTATCACGAAAAACAATCAAGGGAACTTTGTGCTTTACATGCCCTAAATAATCTTTTCCAAGGTAAACCGAGTTCAAAATTTCAAAAATTAGCTAATAAATAAACAATTTCCAAATGTCATTACAATTAGCCAAGGGAACATTTACAAAAACACAATTGGATGAAATATGTAAACAACTTTCCCCTGAGGAATGGATAAATCCGCATAGATCAATTTTAGGAATAGGAAATTATGATGTAAATGTTGTTATGAGAGCGTTACAAAAAAAAAGTTGTGAAGCGATATGGTTTGATAAGAGAAAGTAATTTAAGAAATTGTTCTAAAAATTGTTTAATATAATATAGGTTACTACCTACTTAAATAATTTTTTTTAGAGATCCGTCTTGCATAGACACAACACAAATTATAGGATTTATATTAAATGTGCCTACAGATTATAAAGTTGGTTTTATAGTCCTACCATTAAAAAGAAGACATTGGATTGCAGTAAGGCAAATCGGTGGGAGTTACTATAATTTGGATTCAAAATTTGATAATCCGCAATTAATAGGTAATGAAGATAGTCTTTTAACTTATCTTAGAACACAACTTCAAAGTGAAAATGATAAGCAATTATTTATAGTAGTAAAAAATGAGGTAGAACAAAATCAATTTTGGTTAAAAAAACAAAGCGATGGCAATAATTATGAGCAAAAAAACTATAACGAATGTTAATAATTGTTTAAAACGTTGTTTATTTATTAAAATTTTTAATGCTTATTAAAATCAAAAACTTTTGTTAAAGACATTTACGCACATTCAATCATATCAAAAATAACATTTACTTTTAGGAAATTGTACCACATAAAAAAACCCTTTAAACATTTTCCCAAAGTATGAATAAGAAATTTGGTGCCAGTAATGAAAATTCAAATGTTAATCTCATACCTAAAAGATCATCGCAGTCTAAAAATATTTGTCTGATTCAGATATGTATTTTATTTTCTTATTTTTTTATACCTTTTTTAGATTTTGCTCATAAATAAAAACTAATTTACAACGAAAATCATTTTCATAAAATGTTCTCTTACTGTTATCTAAATGTGCACCAAACAACTAAGTTTACAAAATATTGCATAAGACATTTTCAATTTTAGGTTATTTTAATTTCTATTTAAGCATTAACATTACAATATTTATGATTATGTTATGCTTAAATATCTAACAAAATATTTATAGCATTGTACTTACAATACCAAAAGGGTTTTTTTTTTATAATTTATCACATACAAAAAAAAACAGCAATACCATTCAAAAAGAAAACTTAATTTTGAAATAAAAAAATTTTTGCATCGTTTACTTTATTTTTTTTTAAAAGAAAAAAAAAGGAAACATTCCTCTGGTCAAATAGGAATTTTAATAGAAATCGGTTCAATTAATAGTTGTTAATTTAATAATTGATTAATTACATAATTATTTCGTTTTGCATTTCTAATGGTAAACTATTGTATGTACGTATTAGATTTTATTTAAAGTTAAAAAAAGGCAATTCATGTTAAACACTGATACATAATTTATAAAATAGTACAAATTTAAACATAAAGAAATACTAAATATTGTATTAAAATAAATTATTATATTGTAATTAAGGACTTTAAAAGCTTCTTTATATTTATATGTATTTATAAAATAATAACAAAAAAAAATTTAATTAGTTAAATATTCAAATCACATTAGTTTTACTTAGTTGGCCTTTTATCTAGTCTACTTTTATCTGATGTAATTAAAAAAAATATATTTAAAAAATCAATTATAAAAAGAATGTATATTTAATTTTGAAACGAATATTGTTAAGTTTTGGAATTCTGAGAAAAAAAATAGATTAAAACATTTAACAAAAAAATAAAGTAATCTAGTTTTTTTTTTAATTTTTTTTTGCTAAATAGAAGTAAAAACTATAAAATAAAATGTCACCGTAAGTAAAATTTTTAATTTTAAAACAAACTAAGTAAATACCAATTTAAAAATAATTTTTTAGTCGAAAATTTACTATATCAGATAGAACAAAAGAGGAAATTTTATCACCAGAGATATTAAAAAATTCAAACTTCTTAAATGCTAATTCTAATCAGTAAGAAATAAGACTTATAAACATTGTGTCCAAAAATAAATAATAAAATAAAATTAAAAACCATTTAAGATCAGCAATTCCTTTACGAGTTAAAAGTCGAACACTTATTGTTAAATCTGATGGAACTTGCAATTATAGTGATGATTTAGAATTTGAATCTCAAACTAAGAAAAACAGGTAAAAGCCAAAATTAAATTAGTTAATGAAATTAACTTAAAGATTTAACATAATCAAAAATATAATTAAATTTAAAAAAAAAAATGAAATTACTTATATTTTAGTTGTAAGAGAACGAGTGATTTAAAGAAAGAAAACATGGTGAATAAAGTAATTAGTAACAGTCAAATAATTCAACAATAATTCAATAATTACATTTAAATATTTTCCATTTTATTTACATAAATATCTTTTCCATTTTATGATCAATTCAGACAACCCAAACTGATACTATTAACCATGAAACAACTTATAAATTAAATCAAAAAATTTCTGATGAAATCATAAAAAAAATTCTAACAAATGACATTATGAACTATCATAAAAACATAAAAGAAGAAATATTTGGAACTAATAATTTTCAAGATAGCATAAAAATATGTTTACAAGAAGATAAATCAAATAATAATTATAAAGAAAATTTTTTATTAAAGAAAATCAGATCTATTGAACTGTTAACAAATTCATCTGGAGAAGTGAAATCATTTGATCATATTGTAAATGAAGCAGAATCGGATGAAATTGAATTTAAATTAATAAAAGGTGAATATTTTTAACCTAAATAATTTTGATTTAAATTGATAAAAAATCGATTGAAAGAAGAAATAACGGCAATGTTAAGAAAATTGAGTCTACTTTCTTCAAAAGTCCAAGATATTTATTTCTCAATTTAAAATAATTTCCACCAAAAATTTCGTTATTACTTAAGTGGCATTAATGCATATAAATAAATAAATATTCTTTTTTTCTTACAGTTATTACTGAAGGTGTTTTCATGAAAATATTTTATTTGCTTTGCATAACGATTTTCTTCTTTACTATTCTACAAAAATTTGATATAGAATGGACAAAATATAATAAAATCTTTAAAATTTTACATTTGACTGAAGAAGAACCTGAAATTCAAATAAAAGAATATACATTCCTTGAAATGATCAGTTTCTATATGTATGAAATTGCAAATATTACGAAAAAATATATTTATGAAGATTTTTGAAAATAAGAAAGACTAACGATAATAAAGAAATTATTTCTTTATTGTGTTTTTCTATTTACATACTTACATATATACAGGTTGTTGCAATTGAATATGTCTTAACTTCTAAATTTAGTACATAATAAGTATTTAACATTTACTCAAATTTAACTAGATAGGTTGTACCTAAATCCATATCATTATAACCATCAGCTACATATTTACATATTGTGCCTTTTTTAAGGAAATTGAAATTATAAAACAATTCTTGGCATTTGAATGTAATAATAATATACATACATATGTACATGTACATTCAACTGGAGGTTTCAAATATGAAAGTCAATTTCTGCTAAATCGAAATATTTCATTTGTAAATTACGAATAAAATTTTATACAAATTGAATTTTTTATTACAAAAATAAAATTTTACAATGTATAACCATCTGTGTTCATCCATTTTCTGCAATTTGTTTCTGTTAATCAAATATGAAATGTGAATTTCGATTTAGTACAAATCAGCTTCGATAAATTGCCCTTAGACATTAATTTAATTTATACATTCGGCCATTAATTACGAAATTGTAATCAATTTTTTTGAAATGCAAATATTTCTACTTAACTTAACTAGAGTGTTTATTTAAAATACATCAATATGCACTAAAAATCCATGGTCTCAAATATCTCCTTCGCAAAGATTATTTCGCGACGAATATAACGTTACGTCAAATAACGACATGATTGTGTTTACGATTGATTTTAATCATACAAATAATAGCACCACGGTATTGCTCGTACAGCTGGTTTTTATTTACTGTCTTTTCTGGGTAAAAAGAAAAAGAAAAGAAAATAGATTAAACAGTCAAATGCTGCCAAAAATAAAATTTTTGATAAAAATAATAATTTTATATAAATAATAAAATAATGGCACCGCCGGCACTTATTAAAAGATTAAAAGACAATTCTGTGCTCAAAAATTTAAAAAAATATGCTAATTATGATTTTCTAAAAAGTTTATTATTAGATCCAAAGCGGCTTCCAATTACTTCAATATTAATAATATTAGCAGAATTTGTATTAAATATTTTGATTATTAATAAAGTTCCATATACGGAAATTGATTGGCGAGCTTATATGCAAGAATGTGAAGGATTTTTAAATGGCACTACAGATTACAGTCTTCTTAAAGGTAAAATAAAGTTAAAAAATTATGCATTAATAAAATAAGGTAAAATACATATAAAGATAAATTATTTCATTCCAGCACTAATTGTAAGAACTGTAAATAACTATAGAGCTAAGCTATTTATTTTTAGAATCAGTTGGGTATATGCCTTTATATATACGTGTATGTTTGCAATGCAGATACGCACATATATATTACATATACAGGTATTTACATATGGCTATACTTTAGTGTTACCTATATGGGATGAGTAAAAATTACGTTTTCAATTCTAATAGGACATTTTATCTATATTCTTTACACATTTCTATGTTGAATTCTACATAACATTGCTTTGCACATTGTTATATTATCATATTGATAAAGATTTTTTTATTTTTCTTTTTAGGTGATACAGGACCATTAGTCTATCCGGCCGGCTTTCTATACTTATATTCAATTCTATATTTTATCACTTCAAATGGACAACAAATTCGTTTAGCCCAATATATATTCTGCTTAATATACTTAATTCAAATGTATTTGGTTTTAAGACTTTATGCAAAAAGTCGAAAAATTCCACCATATGTTTTGATTTTAAGTGCTTTCACATCATACAGGATTCATTCAATTTACGTGCTTCGACTTTTTAATGATCCAATAGCAATTTTGTTTTTATATGCAGCTATAAATTTGTATGTAGACGGAAAATGGACATTAGGAAGTGTTATGTTTAGTTTAGCAGTTTCTATTAAAATGAACATATTATTGTTTGCTCCAGCCGTATTTATTTTATATTTAACTTCTTTAGGAACAATCAATACTATAAAACAATTGGCAATTTGCGCTACGATTCAACTAATTTTAGGCTTTCCATTTTTATTCACATTTCCAATTGAATATATTCGCGGAAGTTTCGATTTAAGTCGGGTATTTGAACATAAATGGACAGTAAATTATAGGTTTCTGAGTCGAGAAATATTTGAAAGTAAAACATTTCACATAAGCTTATTAGTAATTCATTTAAGTTTATTAATTTTGTTTGCCAAACCATGCTATAATTATTTAAAGAGTTATTGTCGATTAAGAACACTGCAAGCGCAATTACAACCGCAAATAGAAAAGGAAAATGCTAAATTAAAACAACTTAAAAGTATGAAAAAGAAAGTGAAGAAGACCTCAGCTAGCTCCAAAAGCGAAAACGTGGAAGAAAAATTAACAAAAGATCAACAAAAATTTTTAGACTCCTTTGAAAAATCTTTAAAGGCTAATAGTGGTGGCAGCCGTAATTCTCCAATAAAACCTGAAGAAGATGAAAAAGAACCGGAAAGTTACCATATTCATTTTGATAATTGCATACAGCTTGTACTATTACCTTTGTTTTTAAGCAATTTTATAGGAGTGGTTTGTGCTAGAAGTTTACATTACCAATTTTATGTATGGTATTTCCATTCTCTTCCATACCTAGCTTGGAGCACTGAATACAATGCCTCTTTTAAATATTTATTGTTAGGCTTCATTGAATATTGTTGGAATACGTATCCAAGCACGAATGTATCTAGTGTGTTACTTCACGTTTGTCATTTGTTTCTATTATTCGGAATAGGGAAAAAAATATTTAAATCGATTGAAAATACAAATAAGTTGAAATAAATTTTTTTAGCTAAAATACATACATACATATTTAATATTAAAAGAAAGACTATTTTTAATACAAATTGCTTCAACTTTCAAAAGTTTTCTAATTGTAAAGAAAAAACCGAAATAAATTGCATTATTAACAATTTGTTATATTTATTTAAAAAATGTACAGTCTATTTCTAGTTTAATAATAAATCAGTCCTATTAACTTAGAACATTATTTTTTAAAAAATTATTTATATACGTAAAGAAAATTTTTTTAACACAATAACTTAAATATTCAATAGAATTTTAAACTCCGTTCTATTCGTATATCTAGAAATAATTTTTTAGTTGCATGAAGATACTACCACAGAAGTACTATTTTTTATTTCGGAATCTTGATGTTCTATGCTACTTAACGATGGAGAGGAACTTGAATGTGAAATAGTTGAAAAAAATTTCAGAATTGTGGTTTCACTATTTCTTCTGTTCGATGTAGGTGTCCTGGAATGAGACAAAATATTTTCACCTGAACTAGAACCAGATCGCGATATTCTTCTTTTTGGGGTACCACATAAATTAGGTGATTTTGGACTACTAGGAAAGTCAGATATATTATCTTGAATAAATTTTGAACTGGCCTTGCTAATTATATCACAATTGAGACTTTTTGTTGCCATTTGTAATGAATCTTTGGAAGTTGAAGCAAGCTTGTCATTTAATGTAAATGTTCGACTTGTCATTAGCTTCTGTTTTCTAAGTTTAGTCAACCAATCGATTTTTTCTTTAGCTTTTCTTTTAGGTGACATTATACCTAAATGAGGAGCTTGACCATCCAAAACATAATTTGGCAAATTGGATGTAGGTGAAAACATCATTGACGTTTGTTGTAAATTATAATTGCGTGACAGTGGAGATCCAGTAGGAGAAGTATTCAAATCCGCCCTTTCACTGAGTGGTGACAATTTTTGACATAAATTTTGCGTAACAGTTTGTATACCTGAAGTCGCGGCAACGTTTGGATGCAACATCGAATTTTCTTGATTGTTATCATCCGCATGTTCAATTACAGGAGACAATTTGCTCTGACATATTTGATCCTCAGATACAAATTCTGATATAGTAAATAAATTTAATTTTAATGATTCCACATTGGTTGAATACGTGGAAGAGCATGGACTAAATAATCTGCGTCCTCTGGTTTCAATATGTGGACGCTTTTGCTGACTTCCAATCAAGTCTTCAGTTGTATAACTACAAATTTAATAAATTTATTACAAACTCTGTTTCAATGAATTGTTTTACCTTTCACCATTCATGTCGCTGTATGATCTTTTTGAACTTATTTTTTCTATTGTGGTCGGCGTTCTTTCGTTTTCCTCAACTATTCTCTTTAAAGATCTTGGAGTACTATCTAAAGATTGCAGTCTAGTTTTTAAATTAGAATTGCTCGTATTTCTAGATTTCGAAACTCCATATTTGTACTCTGTCAGAAATTCTGCATGACCTTTGTAATTTACTTTTTCGTCATCTTGGATTTTTTCAGGACCGATTCTCCATATTTTATGTCTTGCGTCGTCACTACAAGTCACAATAGGCATATCATAAGAAGAACTCCATGCAACACATGTTACTTCGACCATATGCCCATTTAATGATAATAACGGCGTTGGATTGTTTATATTCCAAATATAAGCTTTTTCATCGCTACTTCCACTTATTAAGTATTGACCATCTGGACTTAAACAGGACTTTATATAAAAAGTGCCATTGCGAAATCCTACATATTTTTCAATAGGTTTGCTAGAGTATGAAGATAAATTATAACAATATATTGTGTTATCCATACAATTCGCATATAATCTATTTCCTGGATCGTCACACAATAAATTGGTAAATCCTTTGAACGTTGAAGTGCCAGCATATGGTAAACTATGTTTGGGTAACGGCTCCCGTTTAAAACAAGAGTAATTTCTTCTCAAATCCCATATTTTAATTACACCATCGCCTGCGCCGCAAGATACTAAAGTATTATCATCTTGGAACACTAAACCTGTTATGCTACTTGTTATAGTTGATGGACTAAGTTTTGGTGTACGAACTATTCGTCTTCTACTAGAAACTGGTGTACCAGGCCCATGTCCACTATATATACAATTATCAGCTCGTGAAGTACCTAAATCTACGTTTGAAACAGCTCTTCTATCCCAAATTAATATAGCTCCATCACGTCCACCGGTGGAAAAAACTGCCGGATCGTTTTTGCGAAATGCTGCAGTTTTAACTGACCTTGTGTGACCCGTAAATGTGCGGCATTGTACTATCCCTGCTTCAGTTACTTCCCACAAACGAGCGGTATGATCACCAGAAGCTGACACGAATTTCATCTCCCCTGGAGCCCATTCAAGATCAAAAACCGCGTTGAAATGACATTGTTGACCCTCTAAAGCTTTTTCTTCATATTCGAAATTTTTTTTATTTGTATCTTGCAACGCAATCTAAAGAATTTTTAGAATAGAATTTAAATTGACAACTGATACAAATCATTACCTTTCCATCTTCATTAGCTATAGCAAGAATATGTCTATAATTTTTGCAATTTGCAAATTTGGCTGAAAATATTGGCGGCTCTGGATTATAATCTAAACTATAATTTGAAGGAGTTATTCCTCTCCAGCTGTCCTCTTTAGAAACACAAAGCCGTGTTAATGCGAAATCATAATTAAATGAATTTCCTAAAAGAAAAATATGCATATATTAAATATTTTGCCAGCAAGTCTAATGCCTCGGACTGAAAAAGGCGCGCTATGCCGCCAACTTTTATCTTTACAATTTTTAATTTTTCAGATTGATTACAATAATATCATGAAAGAAATCAGCTAATACTTAAGTTTTAATAAAAAGATTAAAAAATCTTTAACTTTAATAAAATTAATTGAAAATTTTATTATAAAATTTTTAGAGGGCAATAAAGAATTGATGCACACTTACTAATTCCTTGAAGTCTTTCAAAAAAGGCTATTACACTATTCATTTTATACTAAAAAGCGGCTTCTTTACTAAATTTTTAATAATATAAAGAAGCTTAGTCAAATTAATCACACATATTTTTTATTGGTCACATATAAAATTTGCGCGCAGCTAGTTTTTAAACTGTCATTTGAAATTGAATAAAATAGTAAATATTGCAATGGATTACGATGGCAACAGTTTGTTATCAAAACAAACTAAATGAATGTTGGGCAACAAGATCATATGATTTATCAACTTTTTTCTGTAAAACAGTAGGGGTATGCAATTAAGATTTCTGATTAAAAATAATTTCATTATATATGAAGGACTTTAAAAATATTAAGCAAAGTTTATAAAAACTGTGCCTCGAAAAAATAAACTCTTAGTATGCATCACGAGCATTGCACGGTTTTCATTATTTTTAGGTCAAAAAATTAATTTTGTTTCGCACAAAATGTTAAAACTTGAGTTAATATCTACCCCTGAAATGTTACTGTCGCAAGTCGCATGTACAAGCATAAGAAGCAAACATGCCTGTTTACACCATTTACATCAATGATTGTCATAAGTGATATGACAGATTTACAAATTCTTACTAAAACTTTCATTTATCGTTTCCCCAAACACAATTTTTATTTGGTCAATAAGTCTTGTGACAAGTGTTGTTACAATCTTTGATTTTCCGTTTGATTTGATATGATTTAGTTCCTTTTTTATTAGAACTCTGCATTCATGAAAAAAATCAGTGTTAAAATTTATTTATATAGTTATTCTTATTCTTGTATGTCAGAAGAATTTTTTAGGTATATTGAATCTATGAAAAAATTAAATGCATATTATACATACATACACGTGTATATTTTTCATCAAATTTGTATCCATTTTATATTTTGTTCAAAAAATTACTTAAAAATGACAATCACATAAAACAAAAGGAAATCTATTTCAAAATACTTTACTTCATTTAAAAATAAAAATAAAAATTCAAATGTGACTTCACAAATTTTGTCCTTTAACCAATAAATTATTAGATCCTGTCTAATACATACATATGTATATTTTTTCTTACATTTTCACAATTTTAACCTTGAAAAGCAAAATTAGGATGAAGATATTTGAATTTAGCTAAATCAAGGTAAATTTTGTTCGTTTCAATTTGGTTACGCAAGTGCAATTGCCTTTCAATCGATTTCAAGTGATTATCAATTTTTCCAAGAATTTCTTGAGTAGGAGACAATATCATTGAAGCTGCTGTTAATGTTGCTGTAATAGGAAGATTATTATTTGAAGTGCCATTCGTTTGGAATGTATAATATTGATCTTTTGATGAAGGTTCACTTGATGTTAATTGAAAATTAGTTGCATTTGGCGTTAGTGAGTCTAAAAAAAAATTTTTTTATTGTTTGAGATTATCTTTGGGGTATGTAGTAAATAAATTTACAGAAGTTATTTGAATTGTTTTGCTTGTCAATAGTTTTTTCATCATTCAAATTTTTAAATTGATTACATTTTGACGTAATTTCATCGCTTGTATTTATCACTTGAGTATTCTGTATGTTACTCATTTTCGGTTCATATATATTCCCACTAGTTGTAATTTTTGCCTAAAAAATATTAAAGAAAAAAGTAAAGGGAGAATATTAATATTTCTAAGATTAAATGATTCTAAATATTTACCTTCTTGCAACAATTGATTGGTTGATTGTTATTACTAGATATCTCAAAATGGTTTGTAATGGGAATTGGATTTGAATATAAATTTATAGCAGGTGTTGAAATCTTAAATTTTTAATTTTCACAGTTATTATAATAATAATTTAAATTATTTATTGTGAAAATATATTTTAACTTACATTATTTCCATTATTGACTCTATTACTGTTGATAAGTGTATAAAGTGTGTGATGTTTTGATCTCTCCGGTATTTTAATTTTTCTATCCATAAAAGATTGCAATTTTAGTTCTTGGAGTCTTTCTAATGACTCTGGATGTTTTCTCTATAATAAAAGCAACATTATTCGTTTTTAATATTAAAATAGATCTATGAAAATAGAAAAAAAATTTACATACATATGTGTTTACCTTAATGTGCATATGAAAATTTCCAGTGCTTTTTACACTACCTTTATAAATATTTTTCTGTGGACACTTCCTACACCGAACCGTAACAGCCTCACCTTCTTGTTTTATAATTTCGAAAAATTCTCCTTTTAAAATATATGGCACTGTATGAGCTTTCTTTGATTCGGAGCTGGTCACGTTTTTTTCATCCATATTTTTTCTTATTTCAAATATCTTTCGAGGTGCAAAAGAATTTGCAATTATAGTAAGACAAATTTCAAACACTTTTTTTTTTTTAATTTTAATAACTTTTTTAAATTTTTGCACGTAATTTTATCTAGAGAACTTTTTGTTTAACCTTTAAAAACAAAACTTAAATTCGGTATTTTTAATGAAGAGATATTTTAAAATATTTCAAATATTAATTTAAAAAAGAAAGGGAGAGTAGCTCTTACTTTTGCTCTTAAGTTTTATGAATACAATGAAAATGTTTCTGCACAATGCATAAATGTATTCTTATTTATCTGAAGTTTATAACGGGGTTTGGTTTTTTTTTTCTTTGTAATTTATATAAACGAGGCATAAATAAAGTTCTTGTAGGATTGTAGTTTTAGATAACCTAACAATATACATAAAGTGGACCACACATTAGTTTTTTTTTGTTGAATAATTAGAAGCTACTTGCATGTTAAGAAAAATGACATATTAAAAGAACGGAAAAAATTTACTTATTTTGTTATGCAATGAATTTATTTGGATCTTTCTTTTCAATTAATTTTAAATTAAATTTTGCTTTAAATTATTAAATTCTCAAGGACACATGTTTGTTAAGCCAATTTAGTAATGATGTACTAACAAAACTACATGATTTAAGATACATTCATTAGTTTGTCGCTTTTAAATTAAGTTATTTTTAAAGAAATTCGTCGATTTTTAAAGTAACTGAGCCGATTTTTTATTACTTTCAATTTGACTCTTTTTTTTTACCAGTTAGTAAGTATTTGCAGTAAGAGAATATCAATTTCATACAAAATATATCAGCTTGCCGCGAAATTCACAAATTAAGATATCCAGTTTTATTATCTTATACCTTTTTTTTTCATTAGACTCATTTTAGAATAAGCTTATGGACAAAAAAAATATTATAATTAAAATTTTCAATCAATTACTGACTAATACAAATAATTTTTTGTCGTTAATTTGTTTCTGTTTAAACTAAATTGTTGTGACGGTTGACGCTCACTTTCTGCAAAATTGTCATCACTATCTTTGATCATTCAGATTTCAATTTTGATTAAATTGAATGTCATTCAATATAAAATATAATCGTAAATTTTATACATGAACAACTTTTAGTAAAGGTAAAAACCAAATAATCGCCTTGTTTTTATGCAAAATTAATATTACTATAAAAATTTATCATTGATATTAACCAGAAATATTTTGGAATTATTTTCATTACATTTTTTTTATTCCCCACATTTTTAAATATGAGTACATATGGGGATTGGGAAAACTTGTTAACGATATTCACCATCAAAATTAACTTAAAAAAGAATAAAAGAAAATTCAATGTTATGGAAAATTAAAAAACATAAAAATTAAAAGAGTTTTGGTTTTATTTTAGTTAGTCTGTAAGTTACTCTCGAACTATAAGGTTGTAATGTGACGCACATCTTGTTTCTGTTCGTTTTCTTTTTTTTTTGTTTCAATTTAAATTATAAAGAAAAATAATTAAATTTCACTTTGTGAATTTGAGAAGTTTTTTCAATATAATAGAAAAACTAAATGTATAAACGTTTTCAATAATTATTTTAGTTGAAAAAAAAAATTGAATATTTTTTAATAAAATTATTATAAAAAATATTTTCATATTACAATTTAATTATTAGTTTTATTATTTTTTATAAATTTAAAAAAAATATTAAAAAAAAATATAAAATGAGGTCAATTAAAAAATCTGTAATCTTTAATTTAAATAATAATCTTAATTATAAACAAGGTTCAGTAACTTTAAGTGCAAATAATTTTAATATAATTTCGACATTTAAAACATCATCAATATCAATGACAACACCATCATCATCATCGTCATCAATATCATCATTAAAAAATATATTAAATGAAAATCAAAGATATGCAACAACAGTTTGTCCAGTTGCACATAATATTAATGGAACAAATACAGAAAAAATATTAAATATTGAAGAAATTGAACAATTTACAAATCCATTACCATATAGTGAAGTTCCAGGACCAAAACCGATACCAATATTAGGGAATACATGGAGGTATATAATTAAAATTAATTTATAAATTAAAAAAATGTCTGTGATCATTAATCAATTTTTGAGAAACGTAAATAAAAAATTTCATACCATACTAGGATTTTCTGTTTATTAAAATAATTTAAACGCGAACTTCAGTATTAAAATACAAGTTGGATAACTTCACGAGAGGAAAGTTTAAATACAAGAATAAATTGGTTTTAACTGAAATATTTTAATAATTATGATTTATTATCGATTTTGCCATACGCACGATACATATATAGATTTCAAGAAATTAGAAATTCTAGAAGGTTCAAATTTTCATACATGAATGCTTTTCATATTTCCCTCAGGATTCTTATATTACTCGTATATAACAAAAACTTGAAAATTATATTATATGATCTTACTTAATTAAAAGTAAAGGGCGATTATTGTTAATATCACATACTACACGTAAGCAAACCTTTAAGTGTTTACTTTATCGTTTATAATTTTCAATTCAACATAAATATTTGTATAGGAACACCATAGATTGGAATAATATAGAAATTTAAAACTACTTTCATTTTTATTACATGTTAATTTATAAGACGTACCAATTCAATGAAGTATACGAGTACTATACGTATTTGTATAGAATAATAATTTTGAGCTTGTTTAAAATATATTATGGAAAAAAATATGCATAAAAACCAGATTTATACGCTTTATAACAAATATTGTTTAAACTATATTGAATATAATAAAGGTATATACAATATAAGTTTATATAGCAAAATTTTAAGTATTTTAATGGCCGAAATGTTACCAAAAACAAAACTTAATTTTGTATATATATTTCAAGTTTCGTTTAATAAATTAATTTGGTACAAAAGACTGGTATAGACCTATATAAGTCTGCATTTTCATATGAACGTGAAATTGTCTTCATACTTTTCTCTTTTTATTTTACTTTACACTAAATTGACCAAATTGCATTCATACATAGTATGTATATAAAAATCATATAGGCTTCAAAATCAAAAAAACAAAGGTTATAAATAAAAAATGCATTCAAAAAAGATAAAAATTGCATTTCGAAAAAAACAATTTTTTTTTTCTTCATTTTTAATTTTAACATTGAAAAAATGGTAATCCAATGTTATAAACTTAATTTCGAAATAAAAGATTTTGTAAAAAGTTTTACAAAAAAAAGAAAATTTAATATTATAATACGAGTATAACCGGTAGGTTGGATTCAAAATTTTCATATTCTTTTCATAATAAAATGCTTTCATTCATTAGTTATGAGTCCCGATAAATATCTGGAACCTGAAAAATTTGTAAAAAATTTTAAACAAATTTCAAAAATATTGCAAAAAATTAAGTGTAAATGTAATACAAAAAATATTATATAAGTATTTAGTAAAAATTAACTAAAGAAGCTTCACTTTATTTAAGTAATTAAATTTTCTCTTACAATAAAAGTCGTAATCGGCTCACAAAACTGCATTATTTCGTATTACACTTCGACGTTATCGAAAATGTCATTGAAAATTTTCATTGTGAAAGTAGCTTAATACAAAATATGCAACTGACGTTTATTATTTTATTACGTGATGATTAAGGACCTGATCGTCTATCTCGCTATTTTACTCAGAAAGTGAGTAACTATCATATAACTTGTATAATGTAATTTTGGAGTGAAAAGAATTATTCCGATTGCGTTTTTCGCTTTTTTCTAAAATGTATACAAAAGTTTTTCGCTTTGTTTTTGAAAATCCAATTTAAAAAATGTGTAATCTAATTGGAAAAGTGTAACATCCATTAGAAAATATTGAGAATTCTAATTTGATAGTGAATAAAAAGTGAGTAAAAAGTGAGTAAAAAAGCGAGATACATGATCAGACTGTAAGTTTTATCAGGCTATATTTATAAATTTGTTGAATAGCAATTGAATTGTATTTTGAAAATTGTGTTTCCAATTACATTCATGCATTTAAAATGGTTTTACTGTATAAATTTTATTTCTATTTCTAAGATGAATTTATTATTATACTTTAGTAATTCCATTTTAATATTTTATATTCACACGCTATTTGCATATGTAAATTATTATGTATATACATATACATATATATGTAATAAAATGCATTTAATTTATACCTGCACGTGGATTAATCAGAGATTCTTTAAGACTTTTAAACAGAGTTTCTTTGTGTAACCCATTTTTGTAATAAGATACTGTATCGATGAGTATTCTAACATTAGAATTTATTCAAATTAATAAATTATCTGAATGGATTCTAATAAAAATTTTTAACATAAAAAATAATTAACATACATTTTTAGAACGCGACCCTATTTTATGAAGACCTTATAATACATATATGTATATAAAATAAATAATTATATAAAAAGTTCTTTTATTCTAAATTCTTCTTTTAATTTTTAATTATTTATTTATAAAATATTAAAATTCTAAATGAATTAAGATTTGAAATGATAATGTGATTAAAATTAATTAATGATATTAATTATTTTCTATACAATATATAAATATATGTGAATTAAATTAATTAGTATAAACTTATTAAATAAAAATTAATAAAGTATACGCTATACATTACATGTTTTCATGTATGATACACAATAGTGAAAACCTGTGTAGTGTTAATAATATTATTTAAAAATTTGATAAATTCACACATTTGATTGATTACAACTTATAATATAATGTAGATATAGTTTCGAATTTATAAATTATGTAAATATTTTTGGTTAGATATTAAATAATATTTTACCGAAATAATATTATTCAAAATTTCAATTTTAATTCAACATACTATACCGTATTCCGACTACAGGAGAGCGACATTTTTTTACATATTACTCTCCGATTAACATGTTATAGGGAATTGGATTCACACTACTTTGACAATAGACTTGTTTTGATTGACATTTTGTTTATTTAAAAATTTTGAAATAAATATTTTTTTTTTTATTTTGTAATCATGTCATTTTTGTATTCTGAAATATTTTTGGATTTTAATTTATTAAAAATTATTATGGATTTAAATATTTTTATAAAATTTTTTGAAGTTTTTTTCAAAATTTCCTTTGATTTGAGGAAATCCTAAAAATAAATCATTCACAATAGAAATACATGTTTTGAAAAAACTGTTATCCTGGAAAACATGCTTTAATTTGACAAATTTTTTCTACATAAAATTTGTAGTTGAACACTATGCATAGCATGCGTTATTCGTTTTAATGTAAGTAGGGTATTACTCTGAAATACCAATAATTTCGTAAAGAAACTCTAAGGCAACAAAACTATTTCCAAGTGTTTCGTAATCATATAAACATAAAAAAAACTTAATATTAATCAGAAATTTCTAGATGGCACATGTATACAAAGAAGAAGAGGAATTGCAAAGATATCAACAATAATTAAACTAATATTAACTTTTTCCTATCTCTGTGATCTGATCGTAATAAAGTTAATTTTAAAATTAATATAAAATATCTATGTAATAAACAAAATTCATTCATGTACCGTTATAAATTCACCGTTATAAAAAATATTTAAATCAATCATAAAAAGTTTTTCTCTTCTTTTCGTTTTTGGCGGAGCTTTTTTTTTTATAAGAAATACTTTTGTTTTCATTTATATTTTATCCCCTATATATTTATCTATCTATCTATATGCTCATGGCATCAATAAAAATCCAATTTGGATAGATTTTTCTTTACTATAAAAAAAATATTTTATTTATGTTTATTATTTTTTTTTTCATATTTTAATAGCTTTGGTGTTGTTTATATTTTTTGTTGCATTAAATATAGGTCAAGGTGGATTAAACTTCTTTATTCGAACTGGTTTGGTTATCCCATATTAAATATTTTGTTGTAACTTTTCATTTTCATTCAACTTTTACAATAAAATAAAAATTGTAGATGCCATAAATAATAAAAAGATTAAAAGAAAAAACAACGAAGGAAAATCAATAGCGTCATTTTCATTTAAGATTATAAATAAATATTTTATTTATAATAGAAAAATTTCTCAAAAATATTATGAGCAAAGCACTCACCATCATTATGAAACTGAAAATGTACCAATAAAATAGTAGATATATTTGTAAAATAAATATTTGATTTTATAAATAATGTTGAACTTTTTCAATTATGAATTAGATTTGTATTTATAGTTCATTCAACTGTGGAACTTAAATTATTAATTGTATATTTAAATCAAACGTGTAGCTAAATGTACTCATAATGTGTAGAAATTTTTAACTTCCACTCTTATCCGCCTGCTAAATAATTTGTTAAATTTTATTAGAATATTCAATAATTTCTGGAATTGTGCCATGTCAATTGGGTCACAACAGTAAATACTGAAAATATATTCTTATTATACGAATTTTAATATCTAAAATTTATGAACTCAGTCATAAATTTACTGTTCAGTCATATCAATGACTTGTGCTGTTCAGTCATGTCAATGACCCTCCCCCAACCCTCTTCTCACACAATTACGAACATAATTGAGTTATATAAACTAAATTGCGGTGATCATTCCTTTTGTTCTTTCTGATTTTTGATTGTATGATGAATCAACATTTGGGGAGGCTATTTGGTTATGCAAAAGTCGGTCGGTAAATAATGTAAGCTTTTCTACTTGTTATAAAGTTCATTTTAACATTACATTTTTTACTTGGCATGGTCATAGAAGTTGGTTATGTCAGTTGAGTATACAAATTGGTCATGTCGGTTGACCATGCAAGCTGATCATGCAAGTTGGTCGTACTGGTTGGTCATGCAAGTTAACCGCGCCTATAGCTCCAAATATAGTATATAAATTATGTTTTTTCTTAAGTTTGCTAAAACCTGTTTTTTCGTTATAATCGATTTTGCAATTATAACATAATCATATATATATGTATATATATATATTAAATGTGTATATATAGTATTGTGTATGACTATTATAATGCATTACATAAATTACTTAACAAAAATATTTATTAAAA